GACCGTGCAGACGTGGAGTGTCCTTCCCACTGCCTCCTAGCAGGGGTGGGTGACATCACCACAACATCGCTGCTATCTGCCAGCCATCTCCATTGACATCTACTGACTTTCCATTTCTCTACTCCAGTTTCTGGAGACAAGTGACTCAATCTGCCCGGCTCTGGGGTGTGGGTGTGGCATGTGGGTTAAGCTCCACCTCCTGGAAGGGGCAGTATTTACATACATTATCAAGCCTCGGTTTCAAAGGGTTGAGTCTTCTCCTGGGGCTCACAGGTACTATTCTGATAAAGATTGTTTTAAAATCAGACTCTGGCTGTCACTTTGTGGGTGATCTGCTTAACAGTCAAATCTGAGCGTCCCATTTAAATTCGCTCTCTGAACCTCGCATCTTGAACGTTCTGGCCGTTCGTAGCAAGCGTGGCAAGCCTGTGTTGTGTGTACTTGTTGGCAAGGAAGTGGGGCAGAGATACCTTTTTCTAAAACAAAACTTTCATTCAAATCTCCAGGCTGCCTAAGTCGCATAATGAAATACAAAAAAAAGTGCGTCGAGGCAGGTAAGTAAATACAGCATTTGCCTTTGTTACTAGAAGAAACTGGAGCCCACACAGCTCAGTCCATCTTCCACGAAGAAACTGAGGCCTAGAGTTGCCCAGAGCGGTCTGACCCCCGGCCGGCACTGAGCCCACTGAATCCAGCCTGTCCAGAGAAGGGCCGACTCTGAGTAGATGTAGGCAGTGAGTGGCGGTCGTAGGAGAACACCCATCACCTTGGTGGAATGATAATTTCTGTCCCAACTGCACTGCTGGTGGTGCTGGTGGAAGGCCCTCCTCGTTGGGGGGGAATCCCTGAGTCCTTGCCCCTTCTCAGACAGCAACACCACTGACCTCTGGCCACGGGGGTGCCTGGGAGCCTTCTGCTTGGATTAGCAAACATTCAAGGTGGGCGTGTTAGCTCAAGTCATGACCCAGAAGCGTATTCTCGACCTGTGTCATCACCGGGGTTCCCCTCTCACATGCTAGGCTATTAGAATCTGCCACTACCCTTTGAATTTTGGAGTAAGTCCCTTCAGGATAATCAGTCCCGAGTGTCTCATTCCCAAGGATCTTACAAGGGCGTGTGTAAATTTCTGGGAAATAGGGTCTTGGGGTGCTAATGAGGCTGGTGGGATATGAGGGATCCATCCCTATCTTTTAGGTACCCCAACCCCACAAGGCATCCCCGTGCACCCTGTCAGACTGAGCCCCATGCGGCCTCCTCGGCGCAAGGCGGCTTGGAGCTTTGTGCCTCTGCTCTGTCCCCCCACCGGGAGAGATCTGGACTGTGGGGGGCACGGTGAGTGTGAGGAGCTCTGAGGACCTGCAGTCAGTCCTAGAGCCCCCACTCCTAAAGACAGTTCTGAGCTAAGACCCGAAATGCTCTCCCAGGTAGGGGAAACAATCCATGCTATCATCTCTCATGTTCCTGGAAATGAACCTGGTGCTGATTTGCAAGTCACAACAATCAAGTGACTTTTTCCCACAGAGCAGGCCTGTCCAAGTACCTGCTAAGCGAGGAGGCATTTCCTTAATTCTTCACATTCAGTAAAGCCAGCAGAATGGTCTGATGAACCCAGAATGTTCTAGTAGCTGCAGTTCTGATCCTGAATTCACTTGCTCTATAATCTTAGCCCTGTCTTGTGGCCTGTGGCTCCTCCTCCCCATCCTGGAAAGGAGAAAATGCTGACCCTACCCTTGACTCAAAATGGATGTTGAGAATAGAAGTGAGTAGTAGAACCGAATCTGTGGCTCCCACCACCCCTGGCCCAGGGAAGCTATCTTATGCAAAGCAGTGACATGGGGCCCCTGAACTTTCATGGGCAGCAGGTACTTTGAGGTTCTGGGAGCAAGGATCAGTACAAAGTACACTGCGCAGTCAAGCCCGTATCTCTCGGCTGCAAGTACGCCTGAGAACTTAGATTTTTGTCAAGCCCTTTGGGGGACGTCAATGAGCGACACTTTGCAACTCCATCCCTGTGGTTCTCTCTTGACTCAGGAAGTCTGTGGGATCCCAACATCACCGCTTGCAAGAAGAACGGGACAGCAGTAGAAGTGAATTTTACAACCAGCCCCCTTGGAAACAAATACATGGCTCTCATCCAAAATAACATTGTAATTGGGTTTTCTAACGTGCTGGAGGTACTTATTCCCTACATTTCCTAACACAACCCCCGTCCTCGACCTCCAACCTTCCTCACCTTGGTGACGAAAAATGTAGAAACTCTACGATGCCCCGGACAGGCTCTCAATGCCAACCGAGCGCGGACAGGACTGTCCGTTGTCCAAACGTGCTGGGCTCTTTAGATTGTTAGAGAAACGAGTCCCGGGGAACATCCCTGGAAATGGCCCCAAGAATCTAAAGCCAACAAAAGTAGACATTTCCTAAGTAGGAAGTGGATGCTTGTTCACATGGTCTAGTGAACTGAGAGTTTGGGAAGAGCAGTTCCCTCACTGGCTGTTTGCTGTCCTCATTCATATGCTTCACGATGATTCTCGATTTTGTCTCATGTCACCTGCACCAGAACACACCCCCAAGTCGCACTTCGGTGGTGATCTCAGTGACCGGGGAAAGTGAAGGTGCTGTGGTCCAGGTAAGGCTTAACGAGGTGTTGTGGGGCGAAGTGGGGGAGGGAGCTGGACACACGGAGCCGGGCTGCTGTACATTGCTGCTTCCAGCGGCTTCCATGAGCTCCCTCCTGCCTGGCACTGAGGACCTCCGCGGGGTTCCCTGCCTCGGGTGCTACAGAAGTGAGGGCCGGGCCAGAGCTGACCTCAAGGTCACGGTCCCTTTTGCTTTTATTCCTGGCTGTTGACTTTCCGTTTTTAGTCACTGAGCCTCTGAGTCATTCTGAGACAGGAGTACCATTTAATTGTCCCAATTGCAAAATGAAGCAACAAAGGATTGGAAAGCAGAGGGTTTGGGCTACAATCAGTGTAGGAACTTTGAAGGGCAGCCGCCACCTTTGACTCTGCTGGGAACAGGAAGTTGGACCAGCAGATGCTCTTGGGTCTCTTTCAGCTCCAAGTTTATGATGTGGGGACATGGAGGGTCATAGTGGGACACAGCCACGCCCAAGATCGAAGGAGCTTTTGTTTCTCATTCCCTGGAACATAAAGGCAGTTCTCAGACGCACCGGAGGGAGCAGGTTCCTGTCAGCATATTATGACGGCGCCCTTTTTCCAGGGAACTAGACTTTTCCAGTCCCCGGGGAATTGTCTGTCACTAGGAGCTCTGCTGCTCTGGGTTTTTTTTAGAGGAAGTATTTGCGTATGTATTAGGATGTGACCAACCCTTTTAGATAAGGAAACCAGCATGGTGGCAACACATACAAAGATTAGGTTCACAATTCAGGAGTTGGAAGGTGTTCAGTCTTGGGTCCCTAGTTTGGGTGTTAGAGCTTTGTTATGAAAGTGTGCCCAAGGGAAAAATACCTCATTACCATGCCGGGGTGGGAGTCCCATTCAAACTGGAAGAGAAGGAATTTTGGTGGGAACAGGTATCGGGCTGAGGTTTTGCTCTGAAGCATGACGAGAACTTCCTGAGCCTCTTGTGTTTCCCTCAGCTGACTCCGTACTTCCACACTTGTGCCAATGACTGCATCAGACGCAAAGGAATAGTTGTGCTCTGCCCGCCAGCAGGCGCGTCCTTCCCCTGGGATAGTCGTAAGTGCCCAGCCTTTTCTGCAGGGTTGCCAGAGAGGTTCAGGGCCCGAGGGGCCCCACCAGTGGCGCCCCATTCACTGTGTACCAGGGCGTGCACCTGCCCCACAGGAGGGTGAGGGAGTCCCGCCGCGCACACAGGGCTGGGGTGCAGGGCCAGAGGTCAAAGCTGCCCCAGACTGAGAATGAAGGCTTGGTGTGTGAATTCACTGCAGGATCCTTTACGAAACAGGGTACACACAGGAAGGGGGGGATAAACAGCACAAAATGGATGTGCGGAATGCTACATGGACGGGCCGGAAAGTCAGCGGTGTTAGAGGACCGAGTGCGGAGGAGAAGGGAACTTTCATGGCACTGTGATTTTCTGACCAGCCTCAGTGGCCTTGGCCTACCTGTGACAGTAGCGTGGTGTGGTCACACAGCCAACATTTGGATGACAAATGAGGACTATGAGCCCCAAAAGACACGCCTCACTGATGCCTGACAGCAGTAGTTTGGCAAAATGTCTCTCTGCATTCAGAGGTGTCAGTTGTCTCGCCACAGACAGGCAAATTATAAAAATGTTCCCAGAACTAGCTTTTTTTGACGCCGGGTGGAGTCAAAAGTTAGAAAGTGGTATTCTTAGAAACTCAGCCGCACGAACTGACAACCCAGGTGCCTGACAATCCTGACTTCGGTGTGGGCACCGTGCCTAGGAGTTCCTGAGCTTACCTGACCCACAAGCCTGTGGGGGTGGTACTACCCCCCAGGTTTGTCCTACAAAACAGCCTTTAAAAACGGCATCCACACATACTATGTATTAAGTAATCATGCCCACAACAACATCAATTCATCAAAGAACAAAAAAACCAAATGAGAACTCGTTACCATGGTGAAAATGCCTGCGTGTATGTGGAGTAAAAGGCCAAAGTGATTTTGGGGGAACTTTCTTAAACTCCTGGGTTCAAAACTCCCTTTTGAGAATCTGATGCATGGCCTGCACACTCTGTGGGAAAACACACCAATCTGCAGACCCCCTAGAGCTACACCGGCCCTTGGTTTTATAGGAATCTAAACTTCTACAAAGTATAGAGTGAAAATCTTAAGCTTCCAAAAGAGGAGATAAATTTGGTTTTGTTTTGCTGAAGGTAAATAAACTTTGTTTTCTCCAGGCAGAGGCATGCTGGGTGGCTGGCTGCCTCTCCTCTGTGCTCTGCTGGTGGCCACATGGGTGCTGGCCGCTGGGATCTGTCTCATGCGGAGGCGCGGTAAGTAGTACAATTCCATTCTTTAAAGAAATCCGAAGGAGAAAATAACACTTGGAATTTTTTTTTAAAGGCAATCACATTTTGGTGTTAGGACAAGAGTCAGGTCGCCCTGATGTAATGCCAAGGAGCTCTCCAAAAATACTGGTAACGATGCCAGGGCCACATCTGCCAAGGCAAAGCAGGGATGGGGACCTCCCAATCTGGTGACGACCACTGGTTTCATTTTTACCACTGAGGCATCTACAAGGACTGCAATGGGCAGAAGATAGCTAATAACAAATTGCATTTTGCCTCTAATGGGTACTCCAAAGCTAGTTCCTAGTTTTTAAAAATAATTCTTCCGTGGCCTAAGAACAACACTCGCTTGAATTCATATACTCTAGGGAGCTTGCCAACTCTAAAATATCAAGGATTTGAATACAGGAATCAGAGTATTTATACCAATACACTGAAAACCTCTGCTTTTCCTCTCCTCCACATGGAGACAAAATATAAATGCACACTTTGGGTCATTTGTGATGTTGTTGATAGAACAAGATCAGTCTGCTAACCTAAGTAAGAAAACCATGTGGAACCTTGACCTTAGGAATACCACTATTTAGGGGATACGGTTTGGCCTGTTAATAGTTACCATACTTTCATAGGTAGTTTCTGTTCTAGAGCACACACAGCATTCCAGTTCGGTTCCAGCTGAAATGGGGTACCGGCTAATCTTATGCAACTACAAAAAACACCTTTACCACCTGCAGATAGAAGATGGTCCAATCACTGAGTTGACCTGACTCAAAACATGATGTGAAGGACAGGTCAGTGGCCTTGTTTGTATAGGACACTAAGGGTAGGACAATTACAACCACCCACCTAAAACAAAGTACCTCAAACCTAAACCTCCTCAATGAATTTACTTGAAAAGATAAGGCTGAAGAGGACCTATTTAGTATAGAAACTTGGAAAACACATCTTTTAAAAGCATCTCTAAGGTTTAGACATCAGTGTGTTTCAGGTGATATGTTTAAAAGGAACACTGGGAACATTTTCCTCTGGCAGGAACAATGTCCCTGATGCTCCGCCAGCCTTCCCTAGCAAGGGATCATTTATTATTGGTGGTTCAGACCAGAGTGAAAGCCTGCCATTTGCTATTCACAGACAACAAATGCTTTCTCTCCCCACAGAAAGGACCAGGAAGGCTCCCTTCCCTACTACCACGCTCCTGCCCCCCATTAAGGTTCTTGTGCTCTACCCATGTGAAATATGTTTCCATCACACGGTTTGTCACTTCACTGAGTTTCTTCAGAACCACTGCAGAAGTGAGGTTATCCTTGAAGAGTGGCAGAAAAAGAAAATAGCAGAGATGGGGCCGGTGCAATGGCTTACCACTCAGAAGAAAGCAGTGGACAAAGTCATCTTCCTCCTTTCCAATGACGTCAGCCCCAGATGCGATGGCACCTGTGGCAGGAGTGACGGCAGCCCCCATGAGAATTCCCAAGACCTGTTTCCCCTGGCCTTTAACCTCTTCTGTGGCGATCTGAGAAGCCAGACTCCCCTTCACAAATACATGGTGGTATATTTTAGAGAGGCTGATACCAAAGACGAATACAGCGCGCTCAGCGTCTGCCCCAGCTACCACCTCATGAAGGATGCGTCTGCTTTCTGTACACAACTACTCCGTGTCAAGCAGCAGGTGTCAGCAGGAAAGAGGCTGACGGCCTGTTCCCTGTAGCCCGCCCGTGAGAAGTGAGGGGCCTTGAAGCCTTCCTACTCCTCCAGTTGAAGGCGGAAAGTATCTCAGATGATTCTCAAGTTTCCTGTGTGGGCTATGTGCAGGGAGACGTCACAGACACCTGCTGTATTTAGCAACAGGAGCAGGGAGGATTCCTAAATGAATACATACGCCTTAGCTTAATCAAAACGTTTATGCCTGAAACACTGTTACAAATACTACTAACTACAGTAGCATTAACTGAAGGACAGAACCTACATTTATAAAGCTAAATCGACGTCACTCCTAAAAGTCAAGGAGAACTGTAAGGCAGAACTATAAGCGTTCTGACAACACGATGATAAACACCCTCCAGCCGACCGTCCAGTCCAGAAGAGCCCATGCACTGCACAGTAACCAGAACCGCTTATTTCTCGGACACTCTAAACTTGGTGAATACCGAAGTAAAGCCTTTGCTCATTCACTCAGTAAGTTCATGGGTAAAAAACCTTCTATTACATCCAAAAGCCATTTTTAAAACAGAATAGGGAGTAACAAGCCGAAATCCTCTCTGCTGACCAGATGACGCAGGATACGTGCAGCCACTTGTATTATCGGGACTTGCAGAGGACCTGCTCCCTCTGAACTAGATACAGGTCCTAGTCGAGTCTTGTACGGGTGACTTTTAACGTAGACACCGACGCCCATTACCTGCAGACCTGATGTCTACTTTTGCCCAAAGTTACCTATTAAAGGTTACTATCAAGAATTCAGAGTTTCTTGTTTACTATGCGACTTCTCATGTTCAAAACACAAATAATTCCTGCTCTGTTCAAAGTCAGCCCTCTTGAAGTAATCTTTTTATAAATGAGTTATTGTAATAGTTTACTTAAATAAAAAATTACCAGAACTAGATATGTATGGTATTTTACATCTTCCAACTTTTTCCTCTAAAAGTATCTTTTTTGGGGCGCCTGGGTGGCTCAGTGGGTTAAAGCCTCTGCCTTCAGCTCAGGTCATGATCCCAGGGTCCTGGGATCAAGCCACGTATCAGGCTTTCTACTCAGCAGGGAGCCTGCTTCCCCTCCTCTTTCTCTGCCTGCCTCTCTGCCTACTTGTGATCTGTCAAATAAATAAATAAAATTAAAAAAAAAAAAAAAAAGTATCTTTTTCTACGAATGCTTGTCTCTCTCAAACAGTACAATACTGAATCTGCCCTAGAATGTGAATCAGCTTCCTTGGGTACCTGTTAGTATGTATTTGTGAAGGGTTAAAACTATCCTTAAAGAGTCTTATGGATAAAATAAAAACCAAAATAAAGAAGCACTGAGTGAAAACTCACCATGTCCAACTTCAGAAGTAGGCACTTAGTAATGGCTGAGGCAGTATGTTTAATGTGGTTAAGATCGCTTACTTGCATGACCAGTTTTCACATTTATAAGTGCTGGTAACAGAAAGACAAGGCTTATGTCAAAACTTGGACCAGAAACCAACTTCCTCTGAATCAACACCTATCAGTTATAAGAACAATAGATTATACTATGTAAAAAAAAAAAAAACAAAACCACAAAAATACATTTTGCTTTTGGAACTAGGTAGCCATGAATAAATTGTGTTGAAACAGCCCAGAAACAAAATCAATATTGTATAAATTTATTTTGTTAAAAAGTTAAAAAAATAAAGAGCATACAATCTTCAGATTGAAGGCACATATCTTCCATAGTACCCACAAGGTAAAATCCTTTTGTTATTGGGATGGACTCTTCTTCGTTCCTCGCCTACTGATCACATACATGGGAAACTCATCGTTATGCTAAGGCCCCAGGACCAGCGTTTCTCCAAGCCCTGAGACTCCTAGCCATCCTGTTCTTTCTACATTTCACTCTTACCTCCATCTCTTTTCCAGCCCTACTTTTGTCAACCTCCCTCCCTCTCTGCCACTCCCATTCCACTCCCGTGATCTCCAGTATCTCCAGTTTGGATGAGCACAGGGGGGATGCAGATGCCCAGCAGGGAGTGGCAGGAATCAGGCATCCCACCAGTGCTCCCAGGTCTCTCAGCCCATGGGCTGTGCTCACTGACGGCTTCTGTCTCCAGGCAATGGTGTCTCTTCCTCTGACCAGGGGCTCGGAAGGCTTTATCAGGGCCGGGACCACGGGCGCTAGTAGCTGTCTGTACTTAGATTTTGCTTCAGCTGGTTCGCACATGAAGGTCAAATGAGCTTACTGAGCACAAAGAGTTCCAGAACTTTTCTCTTGGTTCTTCAGGAAAAGGAAAATTGGGGGCTTGATGACTACGTTGGTAAGCAGCAGCCACCTTATTTATAAGGTAAGGTACGGACGGCAGTCACCTTATTTACCTGCACAAATGAACAATTACACCTGAACTGTTTCTATTTGGCTTTAGGAAGGAAATGGGTTTTCCTTTTCAGTGTTTGTTCTATTTTGGTCAGATACAGACTGTTTTCTTTCCCCAAGCCTACCCTGAAGCATGTCGAGTAACAAAGCCAGCCAGCCCAGCCTTGAATCTTTGCCTCTGGAAATCCAGAGCTCAACTGGTCACTGTCTTTTTTGTAATCCAACAGAAAAAGAAAAAAAGGACCTTTTCTCTCCCCATTTAGAATTCTAAGAGCACACGAGTCAAAACAATGTGTGCCTGCTGTTAACACACGAGGAAAATGGCACGGCCAGACAGAAAGTCACACATCCACCCTTTGTGGCTGTGTAAGACTGTCTGATGACACGGAGGTCAACCTAAACCAAGGCGTGCCAAAACATTTCACATCATCAGGGAACTCCTGCGACCCTGAGAAAGGGGAAGGAGAATTTACCACTGAAAACTAAGTTCATATTTATTGGTAAATGTCCTGGCTACAAAAGCAGGTTATAATTTCACACCAATATCCTGTTGTCAACGTAAAAGTTAAAATTCATTTATTTTCCATGAAACATAAGCATCTAAGTCAATAAATTAAAATATATATATTCTTTAAGAGTCTTTTATACCAGGAGGCCTGTTTTTGGTCTTCTAGTGACTTCCTGCCCATTTTCACCAGACGAAAGCAGCTCGCTCTCGTAACATGCGGACACCGAAGCGCTGCCACTCTCTCTGGTAGATCCACAGTTCCTGTGTGGTGTCCAAACAAGCCAGCACGGCCCCTCCTTTCCACGCGATCAGCCGGGGATCCATGTCCTAGGGAAGTGAAGAAGATATTTCAGCAAAAGTAGACAAGACGTATACTTAATCATTTCCTTGAATTTGGGGGCTAAAAAAACCCTGCTGAGTCAATACCTAAAAAGCCAGATTTTTCAACCTGCATTAAAGACTCATCCATAGAGGACCAATGAACTACAGACAACTTTCTGTTCCAACTGATAAGAGAACTTCAGTGTTTATTACTGAAGATGCTACTATTCACTGTTATTCCACAAGCAGGCGCCCATATGCAGGAACATACATAAGGAAATCATTATTCTAAAGTTAGAATGGAATAAATATATCCCATTACCCCTTCCTCAGGATTAAAATTAAATAAGAACATCCCCAGGAATTGTTCATGGGATATAATGAAATACAGACAACAGTCTCTTTCTAAATTCCAGGGTCTGTGTTTCTTTCCGAGATAGTTCAAGCCAGAAGGATCTGTAAATATGCCCTCGTCCAGGACCAGCAACAAATCCTTGATAGGAAAGCGAAAACTGGAGTTGTTCTGGCTGACGGGAGACCAGCCAGTCTTCTTGCCCTACCCAGTCCTTTTCCAAAGGCATGGCTTTTGGAAGTCAGGCATGCGAGTCTGAAGAGCACAGCAGGGACACCCAGGACTCCAGACCCCTAGCCCAAAGCTCCTTGCACCAAATCTGGGACCTACTGAAATTTTTCCACTTGCCCAAACCCTTAATTAAGAGCTGCCCAGATGCAAGCTCATGGCTCCCAGGATTTTATCTGTCCACATACAACAGTATAATTAGAAAGAATCAGTCCTGGTTTTATGTACATATAATTCAACTGCACCATGAACAACAGACCTTGGGCCTTGTGATCACATCCACATTCTCAATAATTCGCCTGAATGAAGGTGGCATTTTGTTGAGAATTCTATGTTGCAGAAATTCTTGAGCTTTATGAAACATCAAACCACCTCCCACCACGAGGATGGAACTGTACATCTTCTTTTTGGTATCATCAGATGCTGAAAAGACAATGATATTCCTTCAACTCTTTTTCTCCATATCCACCACCACCCTGGGCCAAGTCACCACCAACTCTTACTTGTTTAAGAGTCTCCTCAAAGATCTCTCTCCAACCCATCCTCAGCAATGCAGACAGAAGAATCTTGCAAAACACCAATGTGAACAAATTGCTACCATACTGCACCCTGCTACTTGCAGGATTAGGACCAAAATCTCCACAGGGACCTACAACGTCCAATGTGGCATGTATACACGGCTTCTCTAGCTCCATCCTGGCCCTTGCCCCCCAGCCACACTGCCTCCACACAGGCCTCTTCCTCTGCCCGGAATGCCATCCTGTGACAGGCTAACCCCCACTCACCTCCTAGATCTCTCTAGTGGCTCTTCCCCAAGGAAGGCTTCCCTTGGCAAGCCTCCCACCCTCCACACTTCTTTCTCCTAATAAAAATCCCTCACTAAATCCTATCAGAAGCTCTGAAAGCCAGTACCTTTAGTTTGACTTTATAGCCCCTGCTACAGTTGTGATTTCCAATGTGTGGGGCAATTTAACGTCTTCGGTCTCCCCTAGTAGGCTATATGCCCAACAAGGCCAGGAACCGATTCCTAACACCAGACAATGCGAGCACAAAGCAGGAGCTCCAGTTTCTCAATGCATACGCTATGCTGCACAACCACACTCTAGCTTGACCCCCTTCACCTGACCAGCTTCCAAAACATGCTTACAACAGCAGTCGATGCTGTGAAGAATGGCTTTATCCAGGCCCAGGGCTTTCCCTTCAAATAGCGAGATGGCAGTCTTCCTGGACATCAGTGCTGTGAGAGCCTCCTCAGATTCATTGCCAGCCATCAGACAGTCTCCCTGGGAGGATCCCAAATCCACCTCCTGGGCATGGAGTCTTTCTGGAAGATCAGAAGACTGGCCACGAAGATCCCCCTCAAATCCAATGGGTTTGGACGCAGACTTTCGGTCAGCAGTAGCTTTGGCAGACTTTAAATCAAGCAAAAGGACAATCAAGTGGATGGTAGGACTGTCACAGAACAGCGTGGGTGTTTCCCAGCTAGACGCCACCCCTCCTTGAGGCACTACTTACACCACCGTAAAACAAAGGTGCATCACTGTGGTGCAAGGGAACGCATGCCAGTTCACAGCCAACCACCCAGACCCGCTCCCAGCTCGCCTGGTACTGAAATGCGGTGTGCAAAAGAGGAGGATGTGCTGACGATTCCAAAGTAGTCAATAACAGTCAGGGCAAGTCTCACGACCTTACTATCACCCGTTGGATTTTAAAACTGATACATCAGTGCACATGGGCATTTCCCCCTTGAACAGAATTTTTAAGTGGAGTATTTCAGTAGGATTCTTGCGCCTGTGGCTACTGTGGAACCCTCATTTTCAGACCTTATCTAACCACCTCATGCTTAGGGACAAGGACTAGAAAAGGTTTAGAGTCCTCCTCTCTCCATCATGAGCTGCTGTTTCATTGGCAGGGAAGAGCTTTTTGTGCCCCTGCATCAGACATCCTATTACTGGGACCATTAGCTCTGGACAAAAGAATTCAGCTTTGTGCCTAGACCACATACCATTTAGGTTATAATTTTTAAAATAGGTGAGTTTCATAGGCATGAAAACATGCCCTACTGAATAAAAAAGAAATAATGTATACACCAAAAAGAAGTATCTTCATTAAACTAACTTTTAAATGTATGAACTGATATTCTGAAAATTGAATTAACATCTGCTGAATGAAGAAATCTGTCATCTGGATTTTAAATTTAGACTTCATTTCATATACAGTTCTAAAAACAGTATTAGCTTTAGCATGCAGTCATTTTGCAGTGACTGCCAATGATCCATTAATGACAGGCAAACTGCTGCAGCAGCAAGGCTGTCCCCTCTCAAACTGGAATCACTGCAGACCTGTTCCTGCTTGCTCTGCGTGGCTAGCAGGTAATGCTCATCATGAGGATCCTCAGGGTCTCCCTGGGATCTGTGCTGCAAAGTTGTCATTTTCTGTCCAACAATTCCAAAAGTTGCAGGGTAAAACAAAGCCATTGGAGCCTGTGCAAGGAAGGAAAAAAAAATGATTAACCAAGGACACTGACTTCTGAAAAAACTGATCCATTAAATTCTGTTCTTCCCAAAACAAAACTGGCAGATCAGATCCTAGAAGGCAGACTAAATAAGCACTTGCTTTTGGGAGTAGCATTATTTCCTCATTGCACAAGAGGCCAGAAAACTTACAGAAATCATCCAACTGAGTGAGTGATATAACACCAGAGAGAAATGTCAAAGCAAATATAATGCAAGTGCTGGGATGCCTGGGTGGCTCAAATGTCTGCCTTCTGCTCAGGTCATGACTCAGGCGTCCCAGGATCGAACCCCACATGTGGCTCCCTAAGTAGGAAGTCTGCTTCTCCTTCTCCCTGCTCCTTCTCTCTCAATAAATAAAATTAAAAAAAAAAAAAATGTAATCCAAGTGCCCAATAAGCTACTTTATAATTTCTTAGAACAGTACTCCTCTCTCTAAATAATAACTAATCATATAGTGGCTAATTAAAAAACGGTCCTCGGAACTATTCTAATCTGTATTCTGCTGGTGGCTTAAAAGCTGGTTTAGTGAACAATCTAAGCCAGTCGACACTCTGACCTCATGAGGTTTCAGACAAGCACACTTTCTCTCAGTCTTACTGAACCTGGCTGGCTTTCTTTCTGTCCATGAAAATATAGAGCCACATATTACCTGGAGTTTTTCATCTCCTAATCGAAACTGGTAAAGTAGGGCAGGAGAATCTGGATGGCGAATCTGAAACTCATGATCCTGAAGTCCAGAGATGTCCTGATTCCAGGAAAAGATGCTGTCAGTGAAGAGTGCATGTAAACTCCTCAAATGACAATTAAGCCTCTCCACCATCTGAATTACCTCTATCAAGGCTGCCCTGCAATTTTCTGCCATTTTATCCCCCCGTTACAACTGGAACTTAGTAAAACAAGAGTCCAAAAGTACCCTGCTTCCCTTTCAACGTTTCTGAAATTTCTACCATCTTCAACAAGGACCCAAATCAGTAAGTCAATTCCCTCAGTAACTGGGAAATGATACCCAGTTTTAGGTTTCTCAAAATTTTGTTATTTAGAATTACATTGCTTGAAAAGTGTCAGGGAAAAGAAAAGACCTGAAACAGAAAGCATAAGAAGGTAGGCGTCCACATATGGCAATGGTAACATGTCGACTGTTCACAACACTAAGAAAGTGCTTCAACAGATGCCATTTTATTACACGTCCGTACCTATACATTCATTACACCTGACATTTTCTAAAGAGAGACAAATTTGCTAAATACTTTTTCTTTGAAAAGCCAGCTGTATTTTCCAGAACCTGAGACAACCTAACAGTGCTGACCTTACCAAAACACTCTCACTCCTTAAGAACTTCAAGCCCCTCTCAACTTAGGTTGAAAGGTTAGCATAATACTATTATATTTTTAATTGCCTTTGAAATATCTTAAAATTTTCCCAGAAACAAAAATAACCAGCAATTTTGATTTTGCTCTCACCTGATCTAAATGACAGAAAGTTTCTTTAAGGTGCTGCAGAAGAAGACAATCCATTTTATTTGTTAGCTGGCATTCTCGGTAAGGGAACCCGGCTCGCTGCATCAGCCAGTAGAAACACCTTGACACGTCAGACCCCCCATAGGCCAGACAGAGGCTAGAGTTAGAAGAAAAGGCAGGTGGGTAATCTGTTGGTCAAGGTATGAAGGGCATTTCAAAAACTCAATCGGGCACAGTGAAACATGACAAATCTCAAAAGATGTTTACAGTAGGAATAAAAATGAAGGGACAGGGGGTGCCTGAGTGGCTTACTGGGTTGAGCCTCTGCCTTCGGCTTGGGTCATGATCTCAGGGTCCTGGGATAGAGCCCCACATCAGGTTCTCTGCTCAGAGGGGAGCCTGCTTCCCTCTCTCTCTGCCTGCCTCTCTGCCTACTTGTGATCTGTCAAACAAATAAATAAAATCTTAAAAAAAAAAAAAAATGAAAGGACAAGATGGATGGATGGGAGGTAGAAATGGAACTCTAGCAAAAGACCAGTGGTGGACATCTAGCAGCAGTCATGCTATTTGCAAAAAAGTTTCCAAGAAACAGAATACTCACAACTAAATGCAACTCATTTCTATTTACCATATGAGTTGTCTGCCTGTCCATACTCACCAGTATATCAAGTTGGCAGGCAGTGACACCACAAGACAAACTCATAGGAGAAAACTTTAAAGTGTATACTACCCACTAACTGAATGGTTCTATGGTTTGGGAAAAGCCCTGCCATGTTATTTTAGAGGTGGGAGACCCAGGCCCAGTATTTTCTCCATATTCTGAGAACCAACAGCATTAAGTAACACATAAGCAATGGACGAGCCATATTAATGTATGCTGGATTTTAGAATGCATCATAATCTGGGGTGCGAGGCAACAGATCAACCTTTCTTATGGACTGCTTAGCTCTTTTAAATGTTTCTATACCCTGCATCTCGAACTATCAACATGAGGGATAGGAAGAACTACAGCATCCTGAAGAAGCCTTCCTGGGAGCACAAAATTGCTGCAGAGATCCTGTGCACTGCCTGAGTGTGCTCACCCTGTGCTGGGCTTGTCGCAGGAAGGAGAAGCAACAAACCTGCTCCTGAGAGTTATTTTATTACCTCTTGTATCAGTGATGACATCACAAAGGGACTTGACCAGAAAGCTACTCATCACTCACTGAATAATTACGACAAAAGCAAATACTCACAATGCTAGAAAGAGAATTCAGAATTGAAAACCTCTTTTCCCCAACATGACCTGCCTAAACAGAGCTTTGCTGTGAGCAAACTGGTATGTCTACAGCAGACCACAGCACGAAAAAGAGCTGCCTTCGTGGGAAAGCACACAATGCAAGCTACGATTTTTAGGAGCTGCTGATGTGAACTCACAGTGGAGAGTTCTAACAGGAAGGATAAAATCAGTGGTTTATAGCCTTCCTAGAATTTGCACCTCCACAATCTGGGTATACTACGCAAACTTTGAATATATAATTCCTTATACAAATTTTCTTTTTAGCTTCTGATGCTTTATAGCGAAATAGGCTGTGAGGGGAGAAGGAGCAGAGAACGCAACTTTCCAAGGTTCTTACCGAGTATTCCGATGAGAGACCCCATCCTCCACACAGCACACACTTGTCTTCTGGTCTCCAACATCTACGATACATGTGCTGCTTAAACCACTTCCGAAGGTGGCACAGACAGACTCCTGATGGACCACAATCCCTGAAACACAAAGGCAGAGGAGCAATCAGCTAGGGAGCAGTAAAGAGCCAAGGACGAATCATCAGTTAAAGTCTGGGAACCCCTGGGCAATTGTCTAAGCAAGGCTGAGACACTCAGAATAAGCATTTCAATATAGCACTGACTTAGATTAACGTCAGTAAAAAAGAAAAACAAATCTCATTTCAAGCAGCTTTCTCTGGAATATCCAGACTTACCTGAAAAACCCATCTTCATTAGGATCATATTCACTAATTCTTTCACGTGCTGTTTATTATAGATATCAGGAATTAGCAAGATACATCTATAATACTAAAAAAGAAGAACAACAAAAAACAGTTAATATTAAAATCCGGTCAAAATAAATGTCACTATACTTGTCTTCAGAGAGAATTCTCTCTAAAGGATGGCAGCAATGGTTAGAGGCCCAGAACAAAAGCTCAAACCTCTCTGCTATCTTATAGGTTTAACAAAAAAATAGAAAATTTTGAAATTGTGTGGGTTTTCCCCCCTTTAAATTATTAAAAACTTGTGAAATGGTATCACAATCCCAGATTTCAAGATACACTACAAAGCTATAATAATCAAAACAGTATGGTAAAGACACAAAAATACACAAACCAATGGAACACAACAGAGCCCAAAAATAGACCCACACTTAAGCGATAAATTGATCTCTGACAAAGGCAGCAAGAATATGCAATGGGAAAGACAGTGTCTTCAATAAATGGTGCTGGGAAAACTGGACAGCTACATGCAAAAGAATGAAATTGGACCACTTTCTCACACCATGACAAAAATAAACTCAAAATGGGTTAAACACATAAATGTGAGACCTGAATCCATAAACTCCTAGAAGAAAACATAGGCAAGTTCTTTGACAACAGCCCCAATTTTTCTAGAGATGTCTCCCGAGGCAAGGAAACAAAAGCAAAATTAAACTAGTAGGGCTACACCAAAATAAAAAGTTTGCACAGAGAAGGAAACCATCAACAAAATAAAAAGACAACCTACTTAGCTGGAGAAGGTACCTGCAAATGATATTTTTGATAAGAGATTAATATATTGTCAAAATATATAAAGAACTTACACAACTCAACCAGAAAAACAAATAATCCAATTAAAAATACGGGCGGAGGATCTGAATAGACATTTTTCCAAAGAACACAGGCAGATGGCCAAAAGACACGGAGAGATGCTCAACATCACTCATTAACAGGGAAACGCAAGTCAAAACCACAATGAGCTATCACCTCGCACCTGTCAGAATGACTACTACCAAACAGACAAGAAATAGTAAGTGTTGGGGAGGATGTAGAGAAAAAGTGGGAAGGTAAATTGTTATAGCTACTATGGAAAACAGAATGGAGAGTCCTAAAAAATTAAAAATAGAAATAATACATGACCCACTAATTCCACTATTGGCTATTACCCAAAGAAAATTAAAACAGTAATTTGAAAGAATACATGTACAGCCATGTTCACTGCAGCAGTGTTTACAACAGCCCAGATATGGAAGCAACCTCAGTGTACGTCAATAGATTAATGGGTATAGAAGATGTGGTACGGGGCGCCTGGGTGGTGTTAAAGCTTCTGCCTTCAGCTCAGGTCATGATCTCAGAGTCCTGGGATTGAGCCCCGCATCGGGCTCTCTACTGAGCAGGGAGCCTGCTTCCCCCCTCTCTCTGCCTGTCTCTCTGCCTACTTGTGATCTCTGTCTGTCAAATAAATAAATAAAATCTTTACAAAAAAAAAAAAAGATGTGGTATGTATATACAATAGAATATTACTCAACCATAAAAAGTAATAAGATCTTGCCATTTGCAACAACTTGAGTGGACCTACAGGACCCTTATGCTAAGTGAAATTGGTCAGAGAAAAATACCACACGAATTCACTTATATGCGGAATCTAAAAAACAAAACAAACCAAAAAAAGCAGAAACAGACCCATAAATACAGAGAATGAACTGGTGGCTGTCAGAGTGGAGAGGGAGGGGGATGGGCAAAATGGGTGAAAGGGAGTGGGAGATAACGGCCAGTTATGGAATGAATAAGCCATGGGGGTGAAAGATACCTCAGCACAGGGAGTACAGTCAATAGTACTGTAATAGCACTGCATGGTGACAGATGGTACCTACACTTGGGGCGACCACATTATGTACAAGGTTGTCCAGTCACTGTGTTGTACACCTAAAACTGATAAAACTTTGTGTATCATCTATATTTCAACTGAAAAAGAAAAGGGAAAAAAAAAAACAAACAAACCTTGTGAAATTAAAAGTAAGACAACAAATGTGAACTGAAAAAGGTCCAAAGAGAAGATATAAACATGAGCAAGCCTTCTGGCTGCAGAGCAGCAGATAGGACACAAGAGAAAAAAACAAAATAAGAAAAAGAGAAATCACCAGAGATGAAGTCAGTGAAGAAGGAAAGCTATCCTCAAGCTATCCCTGAATGCTTCAAGGACACTAGATTACAAACAACTCACTGATATGTACTTTTACTGATCAAGACTCTTAAAGTCAGTTCAGGTAACTGAATTTTAGCTCACCTTTAAATCTTTCAGTGGGATTTCCAAGTATTTTTGGATTGCGTGAGACCATATTACTTCAATATCTGCCAGAACAGCAGTAAGGGAGCCCCCAGGTCCCGGGTGAATATTTAACTGACCTCTTCTGATAGGCCAGTGAATATTGTAACAGTCCAATGGATTAACGTACAAGGCCTAGAAAAGACGGGGAGATGAATACATTGTTAAAACTTCTCTTGGGCGTTTTCTGGATTCACATTAAAAAAAATCTAGGGCCAGAGTTATGATTAACATTTGCTGACTATTCCAAATGTTGAGAGTGGAGTATCTAACATCACAGGAGCCAGTGTGAGTATCCGGGCCTGCAAGAGAGATTATGAACTCTAGGAAACAACTAGAACTGGACGGCACTGCAAATTTGCCTACCTCTTCTCCCACCAAAAACTCCGGATGATGAGATGTGTTTGTCCACTTATTTCCAGAACAGTGATCTAAAATTGCAGGTCGCATCTGCTTGTTGTAGGAGCGCGCCTGAAACAACAAATTATCTGAAAATTTACGTAAGAAAAAAGGGGGAGGGGAAGAGAAAATGTAGTATGAATCCTCTTTTCTCCGCTCTCTCATAGACCAGATACAGTAGCAAAACTAAATCACAAATCCTAAATATTTGGCAAAATAATAACTGGTCACAAAAAGATTCTTTTGGCCTTTTCCAAAATTGTGATTTTTTTCCCCTGGGTTTTAATACCTAGGCTGTGATTCATAGCCAGTCCAAAATTAATACTGCACTCTGTTTAAAGCTGAATATACATTTATGTATCATACCAACTCATGTCCATTTCTAATAGTATTTTTTATCATATTAAAATGGCACATGTAGTAAGAATATTGCTTCCCACCAAGATCCTGGAATTACACACTTAAGACTCTCAAGTACACTATAAATTTTTATCAACTTGCCAAAGAAACACCATCTTTTAAATTATTCATCTTGCCCAAGCATTTGTGACACTGATTTGGTTATTATGTAGGTGGTTATGAATGGTTTTCTTCCTTTTTTAAAGAAATCCCATCTTTAGTTTACATAATGAAATCATGAATAGCACTTATTGACAGAACAGCGGTGACAGAATGAATCTGAAGAAAGAGTGAAGACTGAACCTGTTCAGGGGACACGGGAATCCGTCTTGTACCATTTGACATCTTTTTAGACCATATTGCTTGATCCACCATTTTAAGGCCATTTTGTCTTTGTTCATTACTTTCTGGTTTCTGGGGAGAAAAGTGAAAGATGAGCGGCACAAAGATTTAGTGAAAAAAGAACGCAATGTGGCAAACTACTGACTTAATCTATCAAGAGGAAATGCCCTCTCATAAACAAGTAGCTGCATTTCCTTAATTTCTATCATATGTATCAATCTTTAGGATTCAAAGTAATCTTTTTATTCTTTATAAATAAAAAGTCAGAAAGGAACCCTTACCATAAACCAACTATTTGCAAAAATCTATAACCTTAAGTGAAGCTTAAGTGATAAAACTGTTCGTGGCACTAAGCACTGGATAGCTACTTAGTATTTACAGAGTGTTTTAGAGACTTTTCCAAACATTTCCATATTCTCATATTTATAATTTTGTAACAATGTTTTATTCACTTGGGTTATTTTGTTTATTCAGCAGGTATCCAAGTCCCTGTAACACTGTAAAGAGCACATCTATAAACAGCTCCATGGAAAAGTTACTGTTTTCTATCAACTTTTACTCCTGAGATTTATGTCCTATTGTAGAAGTGTAAGATCCAAAGATAGAAATGGATTTACACTCTTACACCCTCAAGTTACACTTAAGCTTAGAAATGGACTTAGGCAGTCTTGCTAAAAAAAGTGGAACCTTAAAGCTAACAGAAGTACAGAAACTTCAAGTTCCTAAAACTATCTTTCATTTAAAACTTAAAAGTGGATTACAATGCAATACGCATATTTTCACATCTACCATGAAAAATGTTTCTGATAATTACTATCTGCAAGGTAGGATAAAGTAAATGATAACTGCAAGGATATATACAGTCTTGCCTTTACATTATAATTTGATCTAAAACTGGAGAAAGGGATTATAATAATTCGATTTGCTTATGGATTGAAAATACAAACTCAATATAAACTCTAAGTATCTGGAAGAGAAAAATATGTCTGTTAAGAGACCTTAATGCATCAGTAAGTGAGTGACAATTCTGTACCTTCCATTAAAAATCTCCTTCATCAATACCCAATTCATGCTGGTGGGTTAAAATAATTTGATTTGCTTTTGTCATAATTATTTCTCTACAATCTAAAACCACTAGCTCACATGAGAAATGCTACTTGTAACCCTGAATGTTATTATTGTGAAACACATTAAAGCCATGAAGATGTTAATTCAAGTATACACAGCATACTTGAAAGTCTAAGCTCTCCCAGGAAAATCACCTTGGGCTTTCTCTCCAGATCCTCCATTTCTTTTCTTTTCTTTCTTTCTCTTCCTTTCTTTCTTTCAAGATTTTATTTATTTGAGAGAGAGAGAGAATGAGAGAACCAGAGAGAGCGAGCGAGCGAGCAGGAGAAGGGGGAGAGTCAGAGGGAGAAGCAGACTCTGCTGAGCAGGGAGCCTGATGCAGGACTCCTGATCCTGGGACTCCAGGATCATGACCTGAGCCAAAGGCAATCGTTAACCAACTGAGCCACCCAAGTGCTCCAGATCCTCCATTTCTGACTTACATTTAGTCCTTCCCTTAGGAGCCAGCTGTCCTTATATAGCGGCTGCCCTTGTTGTTTGTGCCTTCGTGCAATGACATGAGGAATGCTGGCAGGAAGTGTGTCTGTGGCTCGACCAATCCTTAAGGTTGTTGAACCTGGATGTATGACAACAATGAAGTTGCTCTGGATTTGCTGCGAATATAAAACACAGGAGTGTGACCTTAGTAAATAACATACAGGTAACAGGCCAGACAAAGAAGTGAGTCTCCTATAAAGACTATCAGACTCACAGGTATCAAAATAATTCAGTGAAGGTAGCTCTCTGAGAGGCAACCAATTATTGCTCTCTGCAGAATGCAAACTCTTTTCCAGTATCTGTGCTCCCAGGATCTGACTCAGTACACAGGTCAACATCTGTTCAAATGAACAAAACGATAAATATCCAATATAAGTTAACCTACAATTACTGAGCATTTCTGTGCCAGTACTGGGGGTACAATGGTGATCAAGACAAAATCCCAACCACCAGAGACCTTTTAGTCTACTAGGGGAAACAGACAAGGAGTAAGCGTAGGGAATACTATGACTAGCAAAATACTAGCTACATCTGAATCACCTAAAGATGCTTGTAGATTAAAGAAAAAAAAAAAAAAAGCAAGCTAGACTCTAAGCCTACACTACAAATTTTGATTCAGAATTTTCAGAGAAGGAGCCTAGATATCTGCAACTTTCAAAAGTTCCTGAGGTGATCATCATAACCACTCAGGTTTAACAACCACTGATCGAACAGGTTAGGGAAGAAATTCACATAAGCACAGAATTATTATTTTGTAATGCTGGAAAGTAAGGCTTTATACTTCAACTACTTCTGAGTGTATGCATAAACCACATTTTGGTTGTTGTTTTGTTTTTTTTTTTTTATTTGACAGACAGAAATCACAAGCAGGGAGAGAGGCCCTCGGCAGAGAGAGGGGGAAGGCAGGCCCCCCACCGAGCAGAGAGCCCGACTCAGGGCTCGATCCCAGGACCCCGGGACCACGACCCGAGCCGAAGGCAGAGGCTCCAACCCACTGAGCCACCCAGGCGCCCCTGGTCGTTGTTTTTGAAACACTTTACCCCTCATTAGTTCTGTGCTATTCACCTAATCTGGCAAAAGTTTGAGGTTAAAATGCCAGAGGTCACTATTCTGTCCTCAAGGGTCTGAAAACTTTGCTGCATTTCACAATCCACTCTTGGGAAGTGGTGAACAAGAAATGACAAAGCAGCATATGTCAGGACGTGGAGTGATTACTGTGGGCTTTACTTTTAGACGGTAATTGTTTCAGATATGTAATTTGCAAAGGGGGCAGAACATAATATGAATCAGTTGGGGGACTCAGAGTTTCAGTGGAGAGCAGGGAAAGAACCCCTGACGATCCCTGTGACAACAGGATCCCTCTTGGAGAACCACCACTCCTGCACAACTTCTTAGCCTGCACTACTCTTCTTCCACGTCTCCATTTACAACATTTCCTAGCTTGCCCATAAGATAAAGTCCAGAACCTGTTGAAATCAAGATCCGGTCTACTTCTCTAGCCCTACTCGAGAACCACCTCCTTTCTGGTCTCTTTAACCTTCTTAATCTAGATCTCTCTTGATTTCTTAACTCACCATCATGACTTCTAGGTCTGCACACAGGTTAACTCCCTCTGCCTGCCGTGTCCTTTCTCCCTGGTAAATCTTACTTCTCCCTTCAGTTCTGAAGTTAAATGTTATTAGACTAGGTTTGTTGTCCCTGTGCAATATAATTTTCACGGCAACTGTCATGCTTGTAATTAGTTACTGTCTGCCCCGCCAACAGACAAAAACCTTCATGTAAGAAGGGATCACTTGTGTCTTGTTCACTACTCTGTGCCCAGCTTTGTGTCTGCTGAATGCACCTCTCCCATGGGGTTGGCATGATGTTAAACAGGACTTCCCGAGCTTTTCTGGAATATGGGCGACATCTGTCCAGTAGAGTGGAGTAAAACGATGAAGCTGCTTGCCATCAGGGATACCTGTACCTCATTTACAGCACACAGGCTGCAGCACATTGACTGGAAAGCTCTGGGGTTAGGAATGGCAGGTTTCCAAAAGTGTGAACAAATATTTTTTAATAATTCCATATTTATATTCACATATTAGGGAAAAAACTAGCTGGTAGGTCCCACAAATCACTTCCCAGAATAGTACCGCTTAAATAAGACTGAGTAAAAAGGTACTAACTAAACAAAAGGGTGTTTGTTTAACAACAAACTAACTAAACTAACAAACGAAAGGGTGTTCTACAACCGACTGAGGAAATGCCGCTACAGTGATTAAGGGCCCAGGCTATGGATTCACAGACTTGGCTTCCAATTCATACTGCAGCACTTCCTTCCTCTGGATGAAGCTCCCGCCTCACAGCTACTGTGAGGACCCAGCCAGTTAATCAGTCTGGCTAGCTCTTCCTAAGTTCTCCACTGCTTCCAGAAGAGACCCGACTCTGGTTTTGAGACTTTTGTGATAAGCTCTGCTAAGATCTCCAGCGTCACCTTTTGCACCTTCTTCCTCACTTCCAGACATCCTGATCGCCAAAACTTCACATTCTCTCCTGGCCCAGGTCACTTCCACACTGTTCTCCTTCCCTGAGATTCCCCCTGACTCCTAATCATTCTTCAGGTCTTGGTCTTCCTTTATAACCATCCCAGGCCATCAGGGCTAAAGGGGGTACCCGCGGTGCATGCCCAACACTTCCCTATGGCCTTCTGCACTAGCCCCGCCCACGCCATGCCCTAAAACCTGCTACCCCTTGCCCAACTGTGAGCTCTACCCTCCTGCCTCCCACTCACAGATGAGGGAATCCTAGAGGGTGAGAACCGGCAAGGCCCTTATAGACCAGCCACTCTGCTGCCTCAACTCCATGGGTGGAGAAACTGAGGCCTGTACCACGGGGGTTTATGGGGACAGGGTGCTGTATATATCCTACGGCTGCCTGGCCGGCTGGGTGTTATCCTTAACCCACCCACCAGTCAGGGAACTGCCTCATAGACGTCAACATGAAACTGGGAACATTTCAATGCCTCCTTACTTTTGCTGTGAATTTGCCCATTTTCCTACGGGGACATTGATTTTTTTCACTGATCAGTAAGCACACACACGTGCTCCGTGCTTGGCCTGCAACTCCAAATAATTCTTTCTGGTTAGCAGGATTTACTCTTGCTCTGGTTCCGACACACAAACTCTTCACGTCTATTCACACAGTCGCCTGCCTTGATTTTCCTAGCGTTATGCTTGAACTGGACTCCACGCCCTGAGGTCTCTCCTTCACAAAGGAATACGCCTGCCCCGCCAACTGTCTCTGCTCGGTGCCAAACTACCTGCGGTCAAGGACACCCCAGGGCGGCGTGGAAGGCGAGTGAAAGCCGGGTCCCGGTTCCGGTTCCGCGGACGGCTGGGGAGGGAACTACCGCCTGCACCAACCACCAAGGTTGGGGGGGGGGGGGGGGGGCCGGAAGCCTCGCGTCACCACCTCCCTCTTCCCCCGCCTGCCTCCCCTCCCCCGCCCGGCCGGAAGGCCCTCACCGAGACCCGCCCCCGGCGCCGGGTCTCACCTCCTGCAGCGACTCCGGCACTAGCGCGGGCACGATGGGCCTTTTCACGCCGCGCTGCTCCTTCTCCTTCTCCTTCTCCCCGCTCTTCTCCTTCCCGTTCTCTCCGTCCCCCTTCTCCGCCTGGGTCATTGCGGCCGCGGACGCCTACCGGCCTCCACCCTCAAGGACGCGCAGCGCCGCGCCGCCGGAGCTGGAGAGCCCCCGCGCACGCGCAACCTCCCAGCCGGCTTCCCGGCAACCAAGATGGCCGCCGGGCAGCTATCCCGGAGACTTCCGGGAAAGCGGAGGGGCGGAGCCATCCGGAGGAGGGGGCGGGGGGCGGGGGTGGGGCGTGATGGGTGAGTGTTGCTGCGATTGGTCCTGGCGGTAGCATGCCCAGGGCCGACTTGTTTTTATTTCGAGCGCTTACGTAGGAGCAGCGGATACACGGCTTTTGGCTTAGCTCACAGCTTCTTTACTGGCTTCCCAGACCCACGCATATTCTAGTTCTCATACTGCGCTGGTGATGCACAGTCCAGCCTCTGATGTTAAGGTATTCTTGAATTAGGGCGCCTCACTCCACATCCCTTGCGCGAATTTATCTAGTTTCCATGGCTTTATGTATGAAGATAACTCCCAAATACATGATTCCCGTCTGGAAGTCTCCCTGAGATCCAGACTGACAACCAATTGCCTGGTATCTCCATTTGGATATCCACAAGGCATTGCAAACTTAAATGAGCCCAAACTGTAACTTTTGATCCGTCCGCCCCCACACCCCAACACTACGCTCTCTCTCACCATCTCGGTAAGTAACACTTCGATTCTTCAGTTGTCCAATCCATCAGCAAATCCTGTTGTCGCTAAAATACATCTTGAACGAACCCACTTCTCCATTCCTACTGCTACTACTTAGCCCAAACTACCATCTCACCGGCACTGTTAACAGCCTTTTAACCCAACTCCCTGCTTGGTCTTGTCTTCCTTCAGTCTGTTCTTCAGTCGGTTGCCCAAGTGTCAAGTTTTAAAGTATGTAGTTAAGACAATTAAAAAAAAAAAAAAGACAATCAGTACTACATACCCAGCACTCCATATAATAGCACCAATGAGTATTCTCAAAAATTAAACCAATGCTTTGTTTCCTGGCTCATGGAACAGAATCTAAACTAACTAAAGCCTAGAAAGCCATTCTTAATCCAGTCCCTGCTACATCACTAAATTCACCTCATCTCTCTCCTTCTGTTGGCATTTCCAGCTATACTTACTTTCTTTCAGCCTCTCAGACATGTCAAGCCCCTCTTATTATCGAGCCACCACTCATGCTGTTGCCTTTTGCCTGGGGTGCTCTTCCTTCAGTGGGCTCATTTTCAGCCTGTCTCAACCCAAGTGTCACCTCAGAGAAGCCTGTTATCTTACTACCTCTGAAGCAGGAATTAAGTCTGTACTTGCCTGCTCACTGTTTCCCACACTAAAAAGTAAGTTCCATGAGGAGGAACTTGGTCTTACTCTCCACCATTATCTTCAGCACACAGTAGGCACCCAATAAATATTGGTGGATTAAATAATGCTGAATGAAGAATCCCTTGAAGTAGGAATTTAATCCCCACTTCATAGATGAGTACACTGGGATAGAACGATAAACTTAGTCAAGAACACAAGCTATTGAGTAGCAAAGACAAGAACTGAACACTGGCCACTTAATAGGCTACTTTCTGCCCTACAGTGGTCTACCTCATGCTCAGAGTGAGAGCGCTAAATTCCAGAGGCAGTCAGGACTGTAGAATAGCCCTAAAAAAGAGTCCTGCAGAGGAGTTAGGGGGAGGGAGAGGGGCACAGGGATCATGAATCACATGCACGGAGAAGCCATCTCGTTCTGAGACTACCCAGGTCTTCTCCCCACTTAAGTGCTTTGACAGAATGAGTTCTGCCATTCACTAGCCACACAATCACAAAACTTTGCTGAGTCCTTGCTTGTTATCTGTATGATGCAAGTATCATCTACCTACTGTAGTGTCAGAATATGTAAAAGATAAAATGTCTGACACAGACTTGAATGATCAATAACTGTCTCTTTCATCTTTAACCTGAAAATTGTCTTGTAATTGCCCCTTCCCTTATGTTTGAAGATCAGTAGCTCATGCCACTACACCTCCATTTCCTGGCAAACAGGGTTGAATAAATATATCCAAGTAAATATAAAAATGCCTTTACTAAGGGTACCTGGGTGGCTCAATTGGCTAAGCATCTGCCTTCGGCTCAGGTCATGATCCCAGGGTCCTGGGGTTGAGCCCAGTGTTAGGCTCCCTCCTCTTCCTTTGCACAACCAGCCGCACGCCCCCCCCCCCCCCCCGCCAAGTTGTGTGCTCATTCATTCTCTCAAAATCTTAAAAAAAAAATGCTTTTACCTGAACACTTTGGTTCAGAGACTATTAAACACAAAGCAGAATTATCTGTATTATTCACCTTTCCAACAGATAATTCAGTGCCTATCACATGCAGTCACTGTTCAAAGCACTTCGGTAAAAAAGACAAAATCCCAACCTCATCGAGCTTCCATTCTAGTGATAGAATGTGAGAGTTACCAGCATTCACGGGGTGTATGTATGTATGTGTGTGAGTGTGAAAGCTAACAGGCAGTATCTTAAGCAATGTTTTAGAATTCAAATTTGTCAATATAACACAGAAGTCTATGATTTTAAAGACCATCTAGCCAATCTTCATTTTGTAACTCAGGTTTTTTGGTTATGGCTTTATAATTACCCCGATAATTATATATGATAGCAAATCTGATACTCTGTATTAAAGATTCATAGGACAAATAGGTTTCAAGATAAATTTGTATGCAGACTACTGGAATAAATACAATGTGATTTATTTATAAATGAGAACAAATTAACAATGAATACTATTTCAAGTTAAAAAGGTGACACTATATTCATACAGAATACACAACCTTTTATTTTTTTTCAAATTTGGAGTTTTTTAATTATACAAAGATGAGAAGTCAAGGTCTGTAACCTAAAAATATTTACTTATTAAAACTATATTAATACTTTCATAAACTATACAAAAAAGATAATGAGACAAACATGTACATTTATAGAAGAACTGCATGTCAGTCATGCCAGATCCCTGAGAAGGGAATTCCCAGCATGACCTCATTCGTCTGTGAGGACACAGAGCAATCCCTGTTCAGGCACACACATTCAATTCCTTGTTCAGCATGGTCAGCACTCGACTTCTTGATGGTTTCCCTCTGTTACGAATGTGCATGTCCAGTTGTCTGCTTCTTAAAGCAGACATTTACCTAAAAGAAAGTGTTATAACAATCAGTTACTAGTTATTGATTTGGATTTGCACCAAAAAATCCAACAATCATTTTTTTGAACTGTTTTTCAAAAGACACTTTGATAATAAAATACAATAAATTTTTCAAGGGTTAAGATATAATTATTTTTCCAGATAAGATGTCTGAATAGTAACAAAATATTGGATAAGTTCTGTTTTTTTAAAAAAACTTTCCCTAAGAGGATATTTCAAAATGAAATCTCTACAGAATAATTTCAAATATTAAGTTACCTTCCTCATCCACCAGCCATTGGAGGAGGACTAGGGCCACGCAGATGGTTAATTCGACCCATTCTTCTGGGAGGGTTGCCTGGTGGCCTAATAAAAGAAAATTTAATTTCTGCTGTTTAGTAGACATCAAGCGATTTCCTTCCAAACACTCAAATAGACTCTTTATTTAAAAGAGGAACTGCCAATTAGGTCAGGATTTGAGAAAATTCAAATACAGGGACCTGACACTTAATGCACATGAGAAAAGTGAGTCAAGCAAGGAACTGTGATGATCTGAATAGTCCTCCCTGTAAATGAAAGCCCAAATGAAACCCAGCTCCCTGGAAATGCAAGCCCAACCCCATGCTGCTTCATCTTCTCTGGTTTTCTTTACCAGTGGGAATCCAGATTCTAAAGTAAAATCTCTAGATTTAAGGGTGGTCATCAGTTTTCATCCTCTAATTTGGACTTTTCCCATAGGATATTTGATATACATTTTAGCTTTGTCAGTGACTCTAATGATCAAATCAGAGGCAACTTGACTTAATTTACAGTAATGCATTAATTTTATGAAATAGAATTTAAACCTTTTATTTCCATGAGCCTATGCCGATCCATCTATAATAGTTAACTTAATTAAAATTACAGAGTGGTAAAAATATCTATTATCAATTTAAAAAGCTCTACCCTCTTCCATCATCGTATCTGGAATCAGAGGAGCTTCCATAGCCTCTTCTCTTTTTCACATCTTGCTGAAGCAGAGTCTTGAAACTGAAACAAGGGGCAGAAAACAAAAATACCACTTTCAACATTATAAAATGTATCTCCATAGTTTCAGTTATGTGTGTGAACGATGACTAAACTAAAGTAAACCAACTTAGTTCCGACTCCACATTTCTCGAAGCCACCTGGACAACAGCATGTAGCACGTGTCTACACAGGTGCCGTGTTGTGGCCCCAAAGCCCCCATTCCTTGTCTTTCTTACATGCTAATAACTCTCCTTGACGGAGTCTAGGAGTGACTCTGAACCCAGAGCCATCCCCAACTTCCTTTCTCCACTCTACATCAGCTGTCAGGCCCCAGTGTCTGTCCCTACAGCAAGCACTGCACATTCATGTCCCCCACATTTCCCCTGTCATCAGTCTGTCCAATGTTACCCTGCTGAGGGAGGAGCCTAGGGTGGTGTGCCAGAAGCACAGGGCTTCTGGGAAACCATCTGTATGGAATTTTCTTTCCTTGTGGAGGGGGAAGAAGTTAAAACAATGTTTTAAAAAAATAATAGGGAGTAGGGGAGATGTGTGAGACTTTAAGGAAGTTTTGTACTGGGTAACTTAATGCCCCTCTGTCCCACTGTATTTTTCTACAGAACAATTTCTACCATTTCCCTCCCCGCTTCTACTTATGCTACATGCAGCCTTCAGATTAATCTTTTTAAATCACAGTGACAATTCAATTAAGTATAAAGATCTCAGTCTGCTATTCAAACCTCTCTGCCATCTTTCCTGTGTTTCCTCTACTTGGAGTAATTCGCTCTGATGTCCACCTCCCACAGTCATGCCCAGCCCAACACCCATTGTAATATGAATTAAAGCAGATGAAGGGGC